TGTTAAGTTTCAACTTCCATTCTTGATTATATAAAAGTAAAGAGTCTAACAATTTCTGCAGTGAATCAGCAGATTCAGCCATTAGTACCATATCATCAGCATACATAAGCAAGAACATGTTGAGTAAATTGAACTCAAAAGATGGACAGTTGTTTCTTATAAAATGTAATTCACAATCATTCACGAAAAGAGAGAACAATATTGGTGATAACACCTCACCCTGTAATAGACCAACTCTATTTTCAAAAAATTCAGACATCACACCATTTGACTTAATACATGATTTAACAATGGTATATAGTGATTTTATTGTATTTAATAGTTTTCCTTCAATGCCCTGTTTTATTAACTTAACCCACAGGCTGCTCCTATCTATAAAATCAAATGCTTTTTTATAGTCTATAAAACAACAATATAGTCTTCCACCTCTGCGACTTAATTGTCTGGTAATCATTGTATGTAAAACAAAAATGGCATCAGTAGTAGAGAAACCTGGTTTAAAACCAAACTGAGCATCTGATAATATAGAGTTTTCCAAATCCCATTTTAATAGACGACTATTTAAGACAGATGTATAAAGTTTACCTAAGCAACTAGTCAATGTGATACCTCTATAATTATTGGGGTCATTGGGGCCCCCTTTTTGAATACAGGGACTATGTAACCTTGAGCCCACGATTCTGGAAAATACCCAGTACTAAATATAGAATTAAAAAGTTTAACTAGACATGGTACAATATGGCTTTTACATGTTATGATATGTTATTTTAATTTACTATTTATTTCAGGTTTCAGTATTTTCATCTTTTAATCTTGATTTATTTTTTGTTCTCTTTGTAACATATAAGTAATTATTATTTTTATTTTTAATTATTATTGTTGCTTTGAACCTTTGAATTTCAAATTTTTATATCCTTACATTCAGAATTTGTCTAAAATCTCAAAAATAAATTCAGTATTTTCATATTTTGAATTTTATTTATTTTTTTGTTCTCTTTGTAACAAATAAGTAATGAATTATCTTTACTATTTTTTTTTTGTTAATGTTGCTTTGAAGCCTTTGGATATTTTCATATCTCTAAATTCAGATTTTCTCTAAAATATCCTAAATGAATTTTTTTTTTAATTATGGCTCTACAAAAAGGAGGCCTCCACTTGGCTAGAGCTGGTAACATTGGGATAATATGAATAATAATTAATACACAAATTCATATTTTCTTAATGGCTAACGTCCTTACATTTTTTGTTAATTACTTATTACATAATTAATATTTTACTATTATCATTGTAAAACAAATAAAATTGTGGAAATTATTATGAATTATTTCAATATTATCTATACAATTATATTGACAAACAGCTCGCTTCGAATTTAGATCGGGCGTGGTGTACGGTAAACTCGTAATGGCGGCCGATTTCCGTCGATTCTGAGGTAAAATTGGCTATAAAAAATTACGGATGTCAATATCATTCAATTAAACATCACCTTAGGCCTTAGAGTACCCCATTACATTCAATTTTATGGGGTTTCCACCACTTTATTGGGGTTTCACCCCTCCTGTATGGGTATTCTCCAAAAATGGGGGGGTTTCGGGTTTTTCCAGTCACCCGAAATGGAACTAAGATTCTTGGCGACAATATGGCGCGACACAAATGGCGTCGTTTTGATCCACGCGCAAGTTCTCGTTGCTGATGAGACTTTCATAAAAGTGAAAAACATTTAATCCAAGGATAATGTGTAGTAATTCTTTTTTACTTAAAATCAAATCCAATAGCCCTTTCTACTTTCGTTTTAGACGTTCAGATTTATTTATAGTTCGGCGCTAACAAGTTAAACGGCATTTGATTGGTTAGAATTTCCCTAAAGGCGGCGCTGTCGTCTGCCTTATTGAGGAGCGGTCTATCTGTGGCCCCTTTCACCAGAATATCCTTATTTATTTGTTTAATAAAATTTACCAATAATAAATGTCTTCAGGATTATTTTTGTCAACCATACCAAGCTAAAATATTGGATTTTTTTAGACAGTATAATTTTCCAACAGTTAAAATATTTTAGAAGTGATAAAATAAAATACCCTATGAAAAGTCTAACAGGGGACTCAATCAGAGTAAGTGGATTTCTTCTTCTTCTTCTTTTTTTTTTCTTTTTTTTTTTTTTTAAGGTATCAAAATTGTTTATGAATATCTACTTGTACATGAATACATAAAATAATATTTAGCAGATCTATGGAAGTCTGAGTCTCATTTTTGTTGTGATTTTTTTTTAATTTAATATTTTATTGTATGAAGTTTTTCAAATGACAAAATTTCAGTTTTTTTAAAGATCACTATCAAAAGAAAAATCTAATACTATGTATGCATTTTAAAAATTCAACATGTTCAAAAAGTTTTTTTTTTGACAACTGGAATTACATATAAAGTCTAAATTAAAGCAGGAAAAAATAAGTTAAAACAATCATGTAATACTATATTAGAGTCTGGAGAGGTAGTTGTTCAGTCTACATACATCTTTTAGTAAATGCATGTACTAAATATCCACAAAGTTATACGACTTCAAAGTGCAGTGCATGATGTTAATGTATAAATACCTATATGCATGTACACTACTGTACAATACTCAAATTTAATACACATCAAGCATATTAATATAGTTTTCAGTACCAGGCCTATATACCCTAATAATATAATTTCAGTTGTAACACACCATTTTTCATTTTTCATTAAAATAAAGAAAACCATAATTATAATTAATGGGTTACCAATAATGTAAAATAAAAAGAAATAAATAAAAAGAAAAAATGATATATCACAACAGGGAGTTTTAATGTCCCTAATCATGCATCCTTTAATTTGAAAAATTTTGATAAAGTGATAGTAACACATTGGTTATATTAAATCATTCTGGAAGTAGATCATCTGTCTGTAGTTTGGGCCCCAAGTTCGTCTTCTGATCTGGACTTGATAATATTGCTCTTACTTTAGATGACGTCTCCATTTTGGAGTAATAACAGTAGTAGTGGAGAGCGCGCATAAGACCACGATTCAAATTTCGCGCGCAATGACGTCATCAAACGTTCACCAATCAGAAGGCAGCATTTGAATTTTTGGTCATGGGGCCTACATTGGAAGGCGGGAAAACCGATTTTGAAATCACCTATGTTTAGCCGTAGGGTCAAGGGTCAAATTTTAAAAAAGTTCCCCGAAGGGTAGGGTGCAACCTATCAAATGAAAGGTCTGGAGGGGGGTAGCCCGTGGGTGGTACGGGGTCATTAAGTGCAAAATCAAAAAAGTTACTCAAAAGGTATCGTGTGACCTATCAAATAAAAGATCTCGATGGTGATTCCCCCCGGGGTGGTCGGGGGTATAAATCAAAATCAAAAGGGTACCTAAAGGGTATCATGCGACATATCAAGGGGAAAGGGTTTCCAACAGTAGAGCTCACCCCGGGGGTGTTCCGGGGTCATCAAGTGCAAAATCAAACGGTTACACAAAGGTCTTAACGAGTAATGTTCAGCCCGGGGTCTATCGGGCTGATGAATGAAATGAAAAATACATATCAAATGGAAGGTCTCAACGAGTAATATAGTCGGGGGTTGATCAAAACAACACATTGTTTTTGTTCATATTTTATTGCAAGACTGAAGAGCAATAGTTTGACATAAGTCTAATACATATAATTTCAAGGAAAGCTATGATAATTGCATTAAATTATGCAGCCATATCATCAGCATTTATCCAAGAATTAAACTTCTTTGGCCAATGCAGCCATTTCACAAAATATTGCTTGTTTGGTCCTCTTCCACGGGTCTTGAGGATTTTTCAATCTTAAACTTCCTCTCTCTAACATCCACTTTTTGGAGTTCCGGTTGATAAAATGTCCAGTAATGGCTTCGTCATTGTAGTCCTTGAGTTTGTAAACTGGAATCCCTTCCTCAGGAAACGTCGAAACACGATGAAAATTTCCCCGACCACTTTTGATCGTATTCCCTGTCAAAAATGGATGATATTTTCGAAATGCGGACTTTATCACCCACTTTGTACTTGTAGGGCCGCTTTGATTGCTTCGTGGGATCTCCTCTCAGACAGGAATGTTGATACGCGCACTTCTTCTTCGTTGTTTGGTCTAACCAGTTCTGTTGGTTAATGGTGCGGGGACGTTTTGTTGAAGGCGAATTCCTGAAGACGATCAATGTATCGTTGGGATTGTTTGAATGTCATGTAACGATACATCTTAGTTTTAATCGTCTTGATGGTCTCTCTGCATAGTTGGCTTTCACTTCGGTGTTTTGAGAAAAAAAATTTCATGTTGTATCCTTTAATACATTATTGAAGGCTTTTGATCGGAATTCTTGTCCTTTGTCCGTGCAAGTTTCCTAGGTTGCCCCCCCTCACGCAATAATCTTCGAACGCCCGGGCTGTCGTTGGCCCTTTCTTATCCTTTAAAGGTCGATCCATATGTACTTAAGATATCGATGACCAAGGTACGAACTCACACCCTCATTTTCTTTGCTGAATTTGGTCATGTCCATGAGATCAGCCCCCATTGATCATCTAGGCCAGCGACGACGACCTGATTGCGACGATAATGTCGTTTTGGGTGCTGAAGACTGTAGGGTTTTGTCTCTGTAACCTTTTTTGGTACCTTTGAACTTGCTGATATCATATTTTCCCTCTTTTTGAACGTATCTGAATAATTTATCACCCCGGTAAAACTACCAGCTGTGGATGGTTGAATACATTGCTTGAGATAATCCTCCCAAGACATGTTTTTTCTGGCATGGACAACGTTAAAATGGTTTAAGTGTACCCCAACCCCTTATATAATTCCTAATCACGTGACTTATGATGACATAAATAACAATACTGCTTTTTTCACTGTTTATTCAAGTAAATGCAACAATTTACAATCGATAGTTCATTTTTCAAACAATAAAAGGGAATAGTAAAATGTTATTTAGACTTTTTTAGGATTCATCCTATCTTCTTCCATCTCGCTCTTGTCATCCTCTCTCTCTTGGTCTTCGCTTTCGGAACATCGTCGATCCCATATCACTCTCAGGACCCCACATTTCTTCAAGGACAGGACGATTCTTATTAAGCCATTCTGATGGCTCTGCTTTCGTCATAGCCTTCGGACGGAAATCTTTAACATCATCCATGACCTTGGTGTGAATGGTTTGTGTTGTAACTGTAGGATGTACAGGATAGTTGTCCATACTTTTCTGAGAATTTCTTCAGGTCTTTAGAGTTCATTTTTTCCCCGTTTGAACTCTGGCTCTTTCTTGATAGCCCTTTCCTTTATGTATTTATCATATTTCAGGTCCCATAGTTTTTCGTTGTCTTTTTTGGCCCTTTCCATAGAAATTTAAAAGACTTCGTGTTCGTCATCATTTTCCTTCTCTGGTTTAAAAGGGGAGGCCTTTGGATCATCCATCTCCATAGGGGTAATACATTTCCTTTGTCCGTTTTGGGCACCCCTTTTCACATGTCTTTGAAGGTCGGGGACGTTTTCAAAGACCAACCACAATCTCACGGAAGGCATATCTTCTGTAGGTATGACGTGTTGAAAATCCGACCCGATGATTGGTAGGTTGAAGGAACCGATGCGTGGTACGTCCGATGGTGGAATCTGTAAGAAGGGGAAATTCTCTGCTCCTTGCTTTTTTATAGGATTCAAGACATCAATGGATTGGTAGGTTAAAGGAAGGCCCGGGGCCCCTCGATAGGAATAGCTGTCAGAGAATGAGGAAAATTCTCTGCTTGTGCTTTTTTATAGGATTCAAGACTCTATGGCTGGCAATTTGGGTTTTGTAGGCTTCAAATCCACCAACAGGTATCCATAAGGCTTGGAAGTAGCGTCTTTAAAATGTCTCAACAGGTGTTGAGGATTTTCGGGATACTTTAAGCCAAGGTCTATTTGCTGTCTGTCCACAGGATTGTTAAACAGGACCAGGTAGTGGCAATTTCGTCTCTGGGTGGGATTTTTTTATAGTACAGATTTTGATTGATAGCCACGACCGATAGATTTCTGTGATGATTCCTTCCGTAAACAACTCGTTGACTCTAGAATCTTTGGCCGCCGTCGACATGAGATCGTCTAAAATGACGAGATTCCTCGTTTAAAAGAATCTTCTAGGTTAATGGAATGCCCTGTATGAATTCGACCGAGGGATACACGGTGGTTTTGATAATGTCATACAGGGGTTGCCATCGCTTATAGAGCCACAAGATTCTCTCTGGAGGGGGGGAAATTTGCTATACAATGTTGCAACAACGTTTTCACGAAATACTCCCCGAGGAGGTGGGTCCCGATACATTAGCCGAAAAAGGATGTTGAAACATAAACTCCTGTTGTTGTTGCTGCTGCTGCTGGTGTTGCTGTGCTGCTGTTTTTGGGCTGCTGCTGCTGTTGCTGCTGCTTTTGGGCTGCTGCTGCTGCTGTTGCTTCTGCTGCTGTTGCTGCTGCTGTTGTTGCTGCTGCTGTTTGTTGTTGCTGCTGCTGTTTGTTGCTGCTGCTGTTGTTGCTGCTGCTGCTGTTGCTGTTGCCATTCCGTGTGTTTGTGTTTAACATGACGAATCAGGTCGTGAGGCCAGACGTAAGCCTTTGAACAATTTTGGGAAAAATTACTTTTATCGTTTGGCGTCCTCTGCTAAATGACATACATGAACGGTAAATCCCCTTTTATAGACGAGATCTGTCGGTGATTGGCTCATTACACTGTGCATTACAACAAAAACTTTCCGGTAATTTGGGTTTCCCGGAATGAAAGGTCACCGGAAACATGAGCTCCGGATATCGGGATCCGGAAACGTTGGATCCAAGCCCAAAGGTCCGCGGCCCCCCCGGGAGCCTATGTCTTTGTCTTTTTTTTAGTTCTTGTTGTCCGAGGAAGTAAACGATTATTATTCTATATTTTTAAACCCCCCTTTCGATAATTTTTTACTGTCTGCCGATGAAGGGCTTTAAAGTAAGACCTATACTCGGCACACAGGGCCTTGAGCAGTGAGGGTTCTTTATCGTGCCAACACATTTTTAAGGTCATATCCGAAAGACCCGTGACCTTCACATCTGTGCCGAGCGCTTCTAAGGGAACAGTCACTCCCTTTGTTTAACGTCAAGGTATGACGCGGCGCCGAGATTGAAATCAACCCCGGGGCCCCCCGATCACAAAGCAAACGCTCTACCACTAGCCTCCGTGACCAAAAAACGAAGCCCAAAAAAAGCCATATGGTTTGCTACATAGGGTTTTGCTATCTTCCCCTTTTTTTACCCAAAGATACTATTCATTTTAAGCAGAAAATGTTTTATATTTTAATATAAAAAATCATTTTACAACATATAACTGTGTGTTACCAATACATGGATGAAGGACATAATAGCATTATAATAAAAGAGATCATAAAAACTCACATTACAGTTTCTGAGTACAAAATAAGTTATCTGTGATACATTTAAATATACATGTATATTACCAATACATCGAGATAGAAGGACTATCACCATAGCATTGTTGGATAAAAAAATCATTACATCACAAATTACATTTCCGGGTACAAATTAAGTTATCTATGATACATTCAAATGTAATTGTGTTTCCAATACATTGAGATGAAGGACTCTCCCCATAGCATTTTACAATATAAGAAATCATAACATACGCACATTACAGTTTCTAGTAAAAAATAAATTATCTCTGATACATTCAAATATTATTGTGTATTACAAGATAGAAGGACTATCATAATAGCATTGTCTAATCAAGAAATCATAACATACACAAATTACAGTTTCTGCGTACAAAGTAAGTAATCTACGATACATTCAAATTCCATATGGTACCGATTCAGTCCATTTTGCAAGATTTTTTGTCAAAAACAAGTTTGTATTCTTTTTTTTCCTTTTCTGGTGATGAGTTCTGTAGTTTTGGAATTGGGCAATTTTGTAATCGTTCCGGACCGTGACGACAGGCGATTCGCTGGAGGTGATCATATTTTTGATGGTATCAAAGTTGATATCCAAACTGTTTTGTAATTCAATGTGATGCCTTTAACTTTGCAACAGGTACTTATTTTCCCCATCTTGGTTTTGGGGCGGTAACGCAAATTTTCGGTCCACCAGTGACAAAGGAAAGGATTTTCTTATCAGGGGTTCGTTGTCATGCCCCCAAGTAATCACCAAAAGGGGTGCCTTCCCCCGTCCTTGCAGTGAAGATGACCAAATCTTGTCAGCTATAAGTCCGGTCGCCTAATTTTTCCAGGTAGGAGTATAATTTTGACGGGCCTGTGCCGTAGTGTACGCTGCGATGACGACGTTGGTTCGACCGCTGGTCTCTACGAAATCTCTTAACCCCTGGAGTCGTACCATTTCCTCGGACACGTAGCTGACGTCTTTGACCTGTTGGGGTTTCTAGTCAACATATCGAAATATTCGCAGGGATCGGTCACGTTGTTGTTTTGGGCAGTTTTCTCGCTGACCAAATTTACCCCCCAAAAAATGTTGAGCATCAGTTTTGCCAGCGCTCTAAGACCTGGGTTGGATACGATGTTAGCGTACTCGAGATGAATTTTTTTTTGGTTATTTTTTCTATGTACTTGTATCTGTCTTCTTCCGTTTGCACCATTTTGGCCAACCAGATGCCTCTTGCTTCATTTTTGGAAAAGTATTGACATAGTCGGTAAATGCTCCGCCCGATTTTGTTTTTGGTGTATGTGATATGCGATCGAAATGCCACACTTCAAAATTTATCCACCACGTAACCCTTTTCTACGGCTTTTTTACTTGTCGGTGACCCGGTTCCAGTGATCATTCTTTCCCGATCGGTGTGCTCACAGGTCTGTATTTTTTTTTCCATGCACGTTCACAGAGGCCAAACAGGAGCTTATTGTTGATTTTCGATGGTAGGACTGGAGTAAGATGCTTTGGGGGGAAAGGGTGCGGCATTTGATGAGTCCTTCGTAGTTTTGAAGCAGATCAAAATTTTCGGTCACGATCTGGGGAGCCCAGTAAAATTCCCAGATGAAGGGGTAAAGTGAAGTCACATCAAAGTATTTGATACTGGTGTTTTCATCTCCTGGGCATGCAGTTTAAAGGCTTCGGTTCTCCGCCAAAAAGGCATCTCTAGGTTGTAAGGGGGAGGTTAACCAAGTGCTCATAAAGCCTTTTCGTGGACTCTACGGGCCCAAAAGGATTCCCCATCTGTAAGTAAATTATCCCGAAGATTCCAAGTACCTTCTCTTTTCCAAGGTTCTCTATAGAGGTCCCCCCTGGTCATTCCCGCGACTTTATTTAGGGTGTTGGCAGAGTACATTTGGGATTCCATGCCAAAAATCACCATGAAATTCCATCACTACTTTCTGATCCCCCATTTTTTAGTATCCATCGACTCTGTATGGTCCAATCATTTTTCCCCTTCGTTTCCTGCTGTTAATCTCTACGTTTATTTGATGAGCATGGTATTTTATCCACTCTGGCCCTTTAAGGATTGTTTTTTTCGGTCGATACCCTTGGGGTGGTATAATGCCGATAGACTCTCTTTCCCAAAAAAAGACTGCGAAATACCAGATTCAAGCCGAGGCAATGGTGATGCAGCTTAAAAAGGGGCAACGCCGTCCCGATCATCTCGTGACGTCATGTCCATGAAGATGTCCCGGAATTTAACCCCTCGCCGAGAATATCGACGTGACTGGCAATATTTGATTATTTCTTTCTGAAAATCAAAACTATCGTGTTGATGTTCTTCGTCCAAAGGAGAAACTTGGTGCGATCATCGGGCATATACCATCTGCATTATAAAACTGTACGTCTGGTAGGTGATTCATGATAGCCCTCTGATTTTCTTTTTGATTGTATAGATGTGGAAAATAGCCCTTGGCACTTCAGGTATATCAAACGCCTTTGGCATCTTTGAGAGAGCCATGGGTATGAAATTCATTGAATCCAGGAATTTTATTTTTAGATGAGGTATCTCGATGCTCATGAATTTGGACCCATTCATGATCACCTCCGGCAAGATGGCGTTCTCGTACAAGTAACTGACGATGGGGTAGCTATCGTACCCTCGAAAGTTATGACAGAAGACTTTGGCTCCTTCGTTTTCCTCCGAGAACAACCATTTACAGAAATCGTCACGTGTGTTTGGGCCATTGAAAATGCGTTGCTTGTATTGGCATAATGAACAATAGCTATGCTCGTTGATCTCGTCTTCGTCAATGCACTTCGCACACCTTATGAACCACACATAAGTTGGGGACGTGTCAAATGAACCACGATGATTGGTTGCAATTTTTAAAGGGAAATGATTTTCCTGGGAACAAAGCCCCGTTCGCACGGATTTGAGTGACAATTTTTGCGATGACAATTTCCACACTTAATGGATATCTGGGGAAAATAGCCCTCATCACACTGGATCATGTCACCCTGTGTGCATTCAAAATCGAAAAATATCCACTGTTTAAGTCGTTCGTCGTCTTCATCGATCGTTATCTTCCGTTTTCTTTTCAACAGCTTCGTTTCTTCTTCCTCTTCTGTGGTTTTCATGTAACAAACGTGATCTTTTGACATAAACATTCTGCAAGTTCACAGTATTTTTTCCCCACACGTGCGGTTGTCTCGATTTGTTTCTGTTCACAGTGGTGGAGCACTGACGGCAACGATGTATGCGACACTGGAATTGCCTTTGGGGCCTTTTTCAAATTCGAAAAAAACGTATTTTTTGGGATTCTTTAAAAAATCCGCCGTCCTCTGATTGGTCGTCATGGCATTTGTGGCATAGATGACATGGTTCTTTCAGATATGATTTTCTTTGTGGTCATATCCTTTTTGGGATTTCTACGAAATAATTTCTTTCAAGAACCCTGGCATCGTAGTGATACATCATAATGATTGTTGTGATGATACAAGTAGATTTTCTTCTTGCCTCTGGGCCTTGGTACACGATGGCGTTAAAGCAATCTTTGGAAAGAACGTGGATCTGGTATCCAGGTAACACTGACTGAAAAGCCTTCACGTCCTCCAAAAACGCATCCCTGAAGGCACATTGGCCATTTTGTGCAATTCTTCTGCTAGGGTTCTCTTATGTTTCGACCCTGTCGAATTGAGTTCCATCTTCGGTCTTTATCAAGTTTACCCCGGGCCTAATGATGGCCCTAGCACAGCACCAATCATCCTTGTTTTTAATGCGGATGAAACATTTTTTTTTTGTCAATTTTCTTTTCCCAAAACAACAAACATTTCTTTTTATGTCCTTTCCCCAGGGGATTTTACATGGACCACTTCAATTTCCAACGACTGATCGACAACAAATTCCTCATAAGATGAAGAACTCGTTATTTCGGTAAAGAAACCCCCTATAGCTGCGCTACCCGCATAAAGGGTAGACTTATTGGGTAATCCATTCTGGACACTGGATAGTTAAGCGAATTAAGTCTCTGGAGTCCATAATCCTGTTTAAAAACATCTCTAGAAATTTTACCTCATAATTTATTAAAGTGGGAAATATTTGGGTATAAGACATCTATAACAAAATGTTAGATGAATAGATATGTTTTAA